TTCCTTACTTTCCGCTAAGCATCATTTAGTTCTGGATGCGAAAATCATTATGCAGTTCATTGAAAACCTACGAGTACAACGGGAATGACATAGTATTCTCGGAAATCAATGTAAGTTTTGTTTTCCAGAAGTGTTTAGGGAAGCAAATTGATAGTTAAAATTCAAAAAGGGCGAACGCTCGCAGAACTGGTAACACTTTGACATATCCCGCAGTGGAAAATAGAATTAGGACTTGAATTTATAATTCGCCAGGTTCATTCTCAAATGTTCCATAAACCTAGAAGCCAACCATTGTATGAAAAGGTGCAAGGGGAAAATGAAAGTAGACTAGCATATATTCAAGTTTATTTATTTCATCTCTATATACTTAGGTGCATATTGTAAAATCGCATACACCTGATTCTTATGAATTCTCGCTTCCAAGCCAGACCTTTTTTAGGGCAAGTATTCTTTTCCTTCATTCTTGAATCAAATAGAGTGACGTCACTTATGATGTCATTATTACATGTATTCACATCGCTGAATCAAACCGTAGATAAATGATAGTAATAAAGATATTTAATAAAGCGCTAAATCCTCTAATTGTCTTTGACGCTTTACATCACCATCATTAAGATTATTAACAAGCTAAAAGAATCATACAAAAAAATAAAAAGAGTTATAAGCTAGTTTAAAAGATACGTTTTTAAATGTCTTTTGAAACTGTCAATTGAAGAACTAGATCTTATTCCGAGTTGGATCGAGTTCCATAGTCCTGGTGCCGCCACAGCGAACGTTCTCTCTCCCTAAGTCTTTAGTATCGCTTTCGGAGTCGCCTGAGGGTATTGAGAAGAGGACCTTAGCGTCCGTTTAGAGGTGCGATAATCAAGTAAGTCACTAATGTAGCAGGGCCCTGCTCCATTGACAACTTTGTAGAACAGCGCAAGAATTTCATAAACTATGCAGTGGCGAACAGGAAGCCAGTGGAGCATTTTTTAGGATAGGGGTGATGCGATCAAATTTCCTATTTTAAACGGATTGTAATCTTGGAAGTAGATGCTGAGGTTGACCAAATAGCAGTTAGTTGCAGTTATCTAATATTAAAGTAATAAAGGTCCATGAACAACAATTTTGGCACTCTCTTCCTCAATGTACTTTCTTATTTTGGCGACACCTCAAACATACAAACCATACACTGCAATACACGTCTTTTCGTACCCATTATCGCCATAACCCCATTTGAACAAGTCCTCGCTGTACCAGATTTGAAATTCTTGGTTGGTCTCCACCGTCAGCGGGGTAGAGAGGTTATCAAAGAGCAGTTGTGGCGATTCGGTTGTGGCCTAAGACAGGCTGTAAAACTTGCAGTCCCAATAATCTGATAGGAAATCACTCTTTGGGAGAAGAAGATTACGGTTTTGTCGGTTATCAACGTGGCCATTTGGTTGGGAATGAGACGATTTCAAAGGCATCCCTATTTGGATGAATAACTTGGGTTTGATGAATGACAGGTCACGTAACCAGATTTATGCGTTAATTTGAATGTAATGATGTTACCCGCTTTGGAAGTTCAAAAGAAACCATACGAATCATCTCTTGCTCCAAAACAAACCGTAGATGGCGTCTTCTGTATCCATCTTACTGTTGGGAAAAGAACCAGCTCATATGTGATGAAGTGATTTTGAACAAAAGAATGTGAGTTGGGTAAAAAGAATGCACGGCTATACAGCCAGCCGCTTAGTCAGACAGATGGATAGGAAAGCAGGATGGACAAAAGGGGATTCGGACATCTGGAGGAGCAGACGAACGAATGGCTGGCTGAATAGGACTGACAATTGGATTCATCGAAAGACAACTTAGGTAAGGTGAGGTAGAAATTTTCACCAAATGAAAAATGCTTTTTTACCCACCGTTTCTTTCCTCGCAATTGGTGCCCTTGCATTCAGGTGGACGAAGGCATCTGTAACCTTTGTCTGTCTGACAAGTGCCATCATGTTGGCAAGGAGTCTGTCCACAAGTGTTCTGGTGTGAAAACGAGGTTTAAAAGCAGATATATGCCAATTGAAGTGGTAATTGGTAATGATACTTTGAAATAAAAATTGAAATGTCACATTCATTTGTCACAGCCAACACTCCGCCAAATCCCCCAATAACAGAGTTGATTACAATAACCGTAGCGACAGCCACTCACCCTACAAAACAGCCTCTTTTTCAGGACAAATGAGAATTATTTGAAGTTAAAACCATTTCTAATGCATTTAGGGCATTTTACGACTTTATATTTTATTTGTTATTGAATGCAATATTTTTTGAATTCGCTTTTGCTGTAGTGCATTTTTGAAGACACATATCTGTTTCTTTGAGAAATCAATTTGGAATTCTTAGCATAGCGGTAACTTGGTATAATCGGGCAAGTTTGAAAGAGGCAACATTCCAGCATTGAATTTTATGATAAGCAGCCAGTCTGAGTTAAAACCTCTGAATTTTTTTCTTTTGGCTGAGGGGGCTTTTTGATATCCTTGATTTGATGATCTCACCAGTTAGTTCAATTCATGTGGATCAGACATAAATTTCACACTTGCTCTAAACTTTAAACTTTTTCTTAACTACTCGTAGAGAGAGAAAATCGCTCAGGGCGATTAGCGTAAAGAGAAGAAGAGAAGACCGAAGAAGAGCCTTATTGCCTCTCGATAGCGGGGAGTTTTGTCACGAACTAGTTTCTCCTGTCTTTGCATTGTAACAGAACTAACCAGGGGGTCAATTTTAATTTTAATCATACAGTAGGAAGACCTGCCTTTTTTATGCGTGGGCTGCGATTGGCGCTTTAGAATTTGGGTTGTCTTAACAACACTAAACAGAAAAAATGTGTTGTTATTATTTACCAAAAATCAAAATGTCGGCCTTTGGCTTATCGTTCGTGTGACGTAAAATTTTGTTCAATAAATAAGATAAAAAATAGATAAATAGGTTTAGGTTGGTTTCAAGTCTAGTTAACTATGTTACCTATATATCTCTGGGAAAAACTGAAAATGAAGAATATGAAATCGAATGTGCGTCTAACTTGGTTGAACTGTAATGATTTTATATCAGCTCGGAGGAAATGAAAGTATAACTCACCTTCTTCACCCGCAACTTTAATTATCAATAAAGAAAACAGGGCGAGCCGCTACGTAGAATCATCGCTGGTGACTTCTGGAAAGATTTTGATGTTTGTTTACTTCTTTTGTATGCAGAGAATTCTAATCATACAATAAGGAGAAGTGGATTTTCTTTGCGACTTTGTGCTTTGCAGGGCTGCGATTGGCTCAGAATTTAGCTAAGGCGGCATTCGGTCTGACTAAGGTAAATAAAACTCATTGAAAATGTGTTAATAAATATAATTTCGATCGATTCAACAGCGTGCGAAATACCCTGCTAATGAGTTAATTGTAAACAGTGTTATAATCGCGCTTCTAGGTTTTTAAAATTTTTTGACCACATGATGATCGACTAAAGGAACAGTTCAATATCCATTCTGCTTACTCATTAGCATGAGATATGGGAGTCACCCTGACGAGCAAGCTCGAAGGGATAAGGCGATAAATAAGCAGAATGGGTAAGGGAGGGGGGGGGGGCGGGAACTGCACAGAACGAAGGTTCGCGCCAAATGACACTGTTAGGTTATTCTAATTTCAACGTCATAATGTATAATGAATATTCAAAGGGTTTGAATAGTTTCAATATCCATTCTGTTTACTCATTAGCACGAGATATGGGAGTCACCATGTCCTCGCATTCATAGTTCTAATCCTATATAGCTATAACATACTCTTCAAAAACAACAAAACAAACCCCAACCTTAATAAACCCCCGAACTAACAAATCCTCTCCAGCCTTATAAGGAGGAGGGCGGTGGCTTGTCAAGTAGTCCAGAAACCTAGATGGCTTGCGTAAAAAAGGTCATTTCTATGTCTGTAATTCTCAGTTAAGGCACTTGGAAGCCTTGATAATGTGTCGTTAGCCCCACCATAGGCCAAGACTTGCCGCAGCTTGATCTAATGGTGAGCGGTTGCATTTGCTTTCCAGCCAACATGGTCCATGATTTCCCTGAGCTCAATCCCAGATAGTGCAAGCACAGCCACTTCTATGGCCATGAAGAGTTGGGTAGCGTTTCCTTTGAAAGCATCGGAGATCTTTTGGCATACGAAATTAATCTCGCCTGGGCAGCTGATGAATCAAAGGGCCCAGGGAGTATGTCTCCCGAGGGGCTTATTGGCCTAAACAAATACCTCCGTCTTATGCATGTCACACATCTTAATGTAGACCTCTAGAGCTACAACGGGTCATAAAACAGGGTCTTTATACCTCTTTAAAGCAAACACGTTTTCAGATCCATCTCGAAGTGACTTTGTCAACACGTGCTTAAAAAGGAGGGCCTTCTTTTTCGGGGTTGAAAGCAAACGCTTCTCTAAAGAATCCTTTTTTTCCTTAATAGCAATCCAATTGATAGGCGCCTTTAATTACGTTGTTTTCATTGATGCCTGCAGGTGGCGTTTATAACCGCAACGTTGGCAAAACTTGAAAGAATTGTCATTCGGATAGCTACATTTGGACACGATACTGCTGGTACAAGTAGTCGAGGAACCATAGCGAGAGTCTAAAAAGAAAGACGAATAAGAGATATTAATAACTTTGACTCACACTGTTGGGCCAATACGGAAAGCCCAAAGTTCAAATGGCATGGCCCATGAAGCAGCAGAGAGAATTGCGTCGGAACGAGTCAATTTTCGTGAATAATAATCCGCGGGATTTAGTCCCGACGGTATGTAGCTCATCTCAGGCATCAGATTCCTCTCTGTTATTTACTCGAATAGCAGGCGGGCCACCCTTAACAACCTAGGTGATTTCGGACCACGTCCATGCCAGGAATTGATCGTCACCTGGTTATCGACTCTAACATCGATTCGACAGTCTTGTACTGATGCTGGTAAGCACCTAACGGCTTGCAGAACTGCGCTTAGTTCTTTGACATTGATTTGTTCTTAGCGGATGTCCTCTTCCCAGTAATCTCCAATTTCTTGTTTTCTCGGAGGGAAGTGAAAAATAACTGCCCACCGATAAGACGAGGCATCCGTTGACATTACCAATGAAACACGCCTTTCCTGCCTCCATGGGACACATTTATCCCAAGTGTCTAAAAACCCCCCAAATTCCAGCTCTTTTCTCAAACCCTGTGTAAACGACACTTCTCGACCATGTCCTGCTTTCCCGATTGCAGCTGCCATTTCTCTCACATAAAACTTAGCACCAGGAAAGGCTAGTGAAAAAAATTACATTTTCCCATCATTTTCTGGATGGATTTTAAAGAAACGCTTGTCTTGCAACCAAGAATGAACTCTCTTAGTTCAGCGAACCTTTGGCGTTTATCCTGGGGGACGATAAAAGCCTGCTCGTTAGTGTCAATTAACATCCCAAGGTACTGTAGTCTGGTTGCAGGAGACGAGATACATTTTTCAAGTCCGAGGAAGTACCCAAGTCCCGTTAATACTCTGTACACTACTTATAGGGCCGCCTCAGCTGCGTTCTCACTAAACTTCGAATCACGCTATTCCAAACTGCGGGACCAAAAACCATGCTTACTTATGATTTCCCCAATCAGTCTGCCGTCGATATATAAACCGCAAGTAATACCCATTCTTTCAAAGAAATGAGTCGAGGCCATAGCGGTGGCTTGGTATATAAACGGGGAATTTTTGCAGTCAAAAGGGATTGTTGTTCCCACGAACCACCACCCTTTCCGTTCAAGGCCAAATAGTTCCTGAGATGATGTAGCAAGAAGGATGTGATCGTATCCACTCTTGTCGTCGATTTTTGGAAGAAACGAACCCGGATACGCATATTTAGGCACCGAGACGAGGGTATCCAACGAAAACGGGGTGTCCGACATCCGCAAGTTTACGAAACGGGCGTCGATGCATAGCCTTGGTTTGTTAGGTTTGATGGTGTTAGTTAGGTAAGATGACCCGAGGGGGGTTCTACTGTTCCTACTCTACCCCAAACACGAACTGCCCCCGTCCTCACTCTTTCCACCAATGTTTTAGAGATGAACTCTGTAAACAGTTTGCACGACTGGTGGATTTTTAAGTGTTTTCTGGGAGGAAATCGCGAATCCACTCCATACTGCAACCACTGTAATATTTGCTCCTTGAACGGGTTGTTTTCCAAAATGCGCTCCCACACTGGAATGTGTTTTTGGATCTCACCCGCCCTAAAGCTTGAAGGTTCTGTGAACAGTAGATCATTCATATTTCCCTTCTCCCCCATTTCTATCCTTGCAACGTCTGCGGATATTTTTCCAACAGTGGTCATCTTACTTGGGCTTGGGTGTCTATCAATCTCAGAAGATTTCTGCACTCCACGGGGGTTAAATTCATTTAATACCTCGCAGTCAAACTAGAAAATGGATATGAAAAACAAAATCAAAACACTGACTAAGGAAAAAAATATCAACCCAAGCCTTAGAAAGATGACCACGGTTAGCCCGCTTCGCGGGTTCAAGGATATGCCCTATTGACACACAACTTGTGGGGTCACCCTCTTGAACCTAAGCCGTCAAAAAAAAAGGGCAACACACCAAAAAGTAAGGGAACAACAAACAAGACATTTTGTTCCGTTACACCCTTATGAAAAAATTGCACAAATGATTTGAGTAATTCAGAAGATAAATGGAAGTCACTCATACAAGAAATCTACTGGCGTTTAGATGCCTCAGCCTATGGGCACGCACGCTGCAAATGGCCCAGCTGGCCACAGTTCTAGCATCTTCGGGACTCACGACCTCTTCGGTATCCATATGAGGGTCCCCTTGTTCTCCCAGCTGTAACAGGCGGTGAAAAACTTTCCTCTGCTCGGCTTGACTTTCTCGCCTTCTTGATTACCCTAGCAATCTCAGCTTCCTCCTTCGAGGCCACTAATTTGATCAGGATATTCTGTAAGGATGCGTCTGCCCCCAGGGGGCGACACTTTCTAAGGATTATCTGATTACTCGAGTATCGCTCCTCCGCATACTTCTGTGCTAAGTCAACTACCTCTTCAAGAGCTGCAATCTCGGCATAGGAATCAAACAGGGCCGGTGAACGACCCACCAAAGCCTGTAAAGCCATCAATGCTGTATCAATCGAGCAGGACTCGGTTTTCTTTTTCAACTCATTGAGCTCTTTGCGTAATTTTGTTACCTGAGAAACGGAAAACACAGAGAAATCTAAATAACTTGCCAACCCTTTGGCTATCAGATATCCCAAATATTCAATATCTATAGCCTTGCAGGTCCATCTGGCCATATTTTCTTTATGCAAGCCTATAACATTATTAATTTTGGCCTGTACTTTTCTCTATTCAGGTCATTGTAATTCTAACAATTTTAGCCTCGTTAGCTTTCATGCAGGCCCAAAGTATCTATCCATGACGGCCTCCTTCATTTATACTATTTTGTTTATTTCTTCAATGGCTTTGAAGACAGGCCCGTTAAGTCTTTCTGCTCATTTGAGCCTCGTTTACTTGTCTTATAGGCATGTTTTGGCCTCGAACGCATTATTCTATTTTCCTTAGAGGCCCTTTTTCCTTTTTCTTTTCTTTTCTTTCTTTCTCTCTTTCTTTTTTGTTTTTGTTTTATTACATGCCCATAACGTTATCCACTTTTGCCTCGTGTAATTTATTCAGGTCCAACATACAGGCCCACAGTATCTATCCGATAATGGCCTCCTTTCTTTATTCAGAACAAATTCTTTTTGTTCGTTTACCCATTGGCTTAGGGACAGGCCCGTAAGTCGTTCTACTCGTTTCGGCCTCGAATTACTGATTTTACTTTTCTACAGCCTCATTAAGTTGACCTCGTTGCATAGGCTGGGAATTTGTTGCAACAGCGAAACATTACCTGTGGGAAGCGTTACTTATAAAAACGATCGACAGATACAATAGAAATGCAAATACTCGTAAAACCCAATACTGCGTCAATGCCGGGAAAAAACGAGAAGAAGATGCGCAATAAAAGAATAAACATATGTACAAACCCCACGAAAGCAAAGCCAAACGATCTTGGGTAAAATTTCCACACAACCCCATCCTATATTATGCATTCAGTTCTTGAATATAGAAGACAATAACTAAAACAATACTTTTCCATTGGGAAAACAGATTTATTTCACAATAGTATGAGGCTGTGCGGAAACTTTACCAAAACGATGATACAAAAAGACAACCAGCGAAATGAAAGCAAGAAGAACTCTGGCATTCCTGCTAGCTACTAGACCACAAAAATTCAGACTTATATCCGAGAAACTTAATAATAAAAGGGGGTAACCTAAGGCTATGAGACAAGCAAAATTGCACAAAATTCTCCAGAGCTGCCGAAGAGAATTAAATTTGCTTGGCTCGGCGGAACAAATGACTAAAACACCGGCATAAACAATCGTCTGAGCCATAGAACGATAATTCAAGCAATGAAAAAAGCACAATATATCTCTCTCTGTAGAAGTATTAGCCGAAGCCGAGGTTGTCGGTGGAGTTAAATTGGCACCTGAACCGGCTTGAGTTGAAGGAACCTCACTGAGATTGCCAGAACTACCAGGAGTATTCCCAGTCGTAGGGACGACACCACTTGTAAAGGGGCAATAATCTCCGAAGGCTGAGACATTATAGTAGCTGGTGGGAGAACAAGGAACCATCGAGAGGACCAACAGAACAGAACGAAGGTTCGCACCCAATTACACAGTTAGTTTATGCTAATTTCAACGTCATAATGTGTAATGAATATTCAAAGGGTTTGAATAGGTGTAATTGTTATTCCTAAAAGATCAAAATATAATTTTTTTACTCTTCCTTTGCCGTCACTGAAGCCAGTGGATATGGAATGAAGGATGTGGCTTGAAGTAATTAATGAGATGTCTGGAAAAGGAACAGGTTTAAAGCTTGTTCTCCGCACGTCAAGTTTAAATCGAGAAAAAGTTCTGTGCTTTTGTTGATGCTCTGTTATTAAGATGAGAACTCTGAGCTCTGTTATAAAGATGAGAACTTGACTTAGATGTTAACATCTAAACATAGCCATAATTTTGTTGATCAAATACGAACTTTTTGATTTGTTTACACCTTTCACTCTTATTGCGCGTCTCTTAAAATGCTATAAGTCGGAAACTCATTGTTATCATTAATTATTTTGGGTTAGAGACACACTTAGATCTTTCTTATGGGGGATGAGGTCAGTGGAAGCGAGAGTGATATAAGTTTATCAAATCAAATATTTACGTGTAGCTCTTCTCGCAAAGATTTCTGAACGGCTACATAGACTCGTTTATAGACGTACCTTGAAAAAATAAAGCAAAATAAAGGGAAACAAACAAAAGCAGAAGACTTTTAGAAGGTTTTAGAAGCTATGAGAACCTGCAAGCAGATAACCAAGGGCGCAAACACCCTAGGTGAAATGATTTTGGATCGTCCCGAGAGACGAGATGATAATAGATAAGGCAACAAGACAGTAACGTTGGTAAATTAGGTAATGTTTGTGTTGCTTTTCTTTTTAATTTCTAAGAGGGTCATAAGTGTCGAAGCGCTATTTAAATTAGGCAACGCACCATGTTCAATGGGCTGCTATATTCTAAGTGTAATTCGTCCCTAACTTGCCCCGTGCGCTCGAACTGCTAATTTGACCCTGTATAAAGATTCAACTTTCAAAGAGGATCTGAGTACCTAATAAATTCTCACGCGTCATGTTAATAAGGAGAGGACTGAGGGGAGGATACACATCTACCTCCACGCATTTATATGTGAATCCTCTCATTACGTGCATTTATTTGCTTCAAATTTAGTCTGGACCACTCAAGCACAGTTCACAGCTTGTTCAAAACAATTTTGTAGATACATCTGATGTCATAATTTTTCTTTTCAGAACTCTTCTAGTAACACTCGTCAATTGCTTTAATCGTGCCAAAGTGGACCATTTGGACTTCACCATTTCACATTATAGGATGGTCACCATTCAACCAGACCGGATATCTCGCCTGGGCCAACAATTTACATTTACGATAAGAGTTAAAATAGTGAAGTAATGATTATGAAGAGAAATAAATAGAGAATAATACATGGGCGCGCGTAGATATGGAGTTTCTCTTCTTCTGAAGTTCTAGTTCTTACAGCTGTCACGAAACGGTACCATCCCTCGGAGAGTTGTGTATCCCAAAACACTGGATCATTTAGCGGTGTATCGTCAATGGAATTTCCATTATCCACACTCTTCTTCATAACACGGATCGGCTACAAATTTAAGTATTAATTGTAATTATTGCATTTAAGAATAAATGTTTTCTTTAACGTTTTTTAAGTGTGATAGTTTATTATTGCCCGGGATATGTTGATAACGAGTCGATTGTATCGTTTAATTTTGTCTTAGAGATACCAATTCTGTGGGATTTCTTGGAAAGATCTTTTCTATCAAATAACTGACTAAAGGGAGAATTGATCAACTTGTTTCTCTCAGAAATTCGTCTTCATAAATTCTAAAGGAAAGCTCATTAAAAAAGTCGAGATTATTATCTAATCAAACCTAGATAATATTAATATATTTAAAAGGTACCAGATGGAGATTTATGTCTCACTAAAAGAAAGAGATATCTCAACAGATTAATCTCTTACTTCCTTAAGCTCTGAAACTTTCCGAAGATTATCGATTATTCACCCGAAGGAATATGATGAACTTTGCGCTTCAACAACACTAGCGACAAAAAGATAAAGTGGAACCGTTTTGTTTACTGACATCTGGAAAGTGACAATTCATTATTACATGTAGAGAATTTGAATAGCAGGCGATAAGAGGGTTTGGCCTTTGGGAAAGTCAATTTATATTTTCTAAAGTGCAAAAAAGACATGCAAAACTCTGATTACTTAGACGTGCTATTTTTCATAGGCTCATTTTCAGTTATAACTATAGCAACCAGAGTAACAGATCACGTCTTACCTTTACTGGTTACATCCACACAAATAAGCCTGAAAAGGTTGTTAAATTAGGTTTTAACTGGTCGTCATTTGGAACCTCTTTTTGGTGTTGTTTTGCCTTTTTTTAGAATGGCTGGTGTAAGAGCTACTAGCGTAGACATCATTGAGATTTTCCCCATTTCACCCAACACACTTAATCCTACAAGATTCACCTGTTAAGGTATGATTTATTTGAAATAAGGAATACTATACTCCTACAATTTAAAACCATTTAATTAAACAACGTGTAATAATTCTTTCTCAGGAACTACTCCTGTAGGCAATATAATAATTGTCATTTAAAAACTTACTTAACCCCACTATAAAGACTCACTATTGCCTCCAAATCATCTCAAAATACACAATCTTTGGAGTATATCACAGTACCGAGCTATCTTTTGATAGAGGTTCCAAGATAGTTGGTCTTTTCCGACAAAAGAAACTACTTCTCCTAACTGACTGAGTCCTTACATACTATCACAACGTATTTTAAAACATTCCGGAATTCGAAGCTTACAACAAAACTATTGTGGAAGAAATACATCATAATTACATAGCCTATTGAATGTTCTTGTTTTCCATGCTATGTCATCATAAAGTTTAAGTATCGATAAAACTGGATCATGTGAAATTCTTAAAGCTAATTCCCTGTTATCATTGATGTACATGTGCGTGCCAATAAATCGATTTGTGAATCCTTTCACTGTGCAGAATGACTTGCTTATAACATTTAGTCTGTGCCACAGTAGCGCAGATCACAACTGGGTACGTTAAATAGTTTGTAAATAAAGTAGGATCCGCAGTCTTTCACTTTAATGTTTATTGATTTCTTGCAACAATCTCCACCTCTGGTAAAGCAGACCTCTGAAGAAACCTCACCATCTGCCAGTGTGGGGTGACTACCTTTTAGCCAGCCTGATAAGACCGCACCACATCTATCACCCGGTACGCACTGGGTTGGCATTTTTGTTCCTGCATCTCCCACGAAACGATACCATTTCCCGGATATTAAGGATGAGGATTTGTCGTCACATTTTTCTCCACCGGAGGGTGTGTTGTAAGTGCTCTTTCTGTCAGCATCGCTCAGGTTTTTGTAATTATAGCACGGATCGGCTAAAAAGTTGAATTTCTGTTAATGCGATATTTTGTATATTTTTCTTCATAAGAAAGCTTAAGGAAAAAAATTATTACATAAACTGCGGTGTTTAAGAAGGATTTCCCGCCCTGTGAAAAGCCGTAACAACACGCCTCAATATTACGATAACTTTTTATATTTGTTTAATATCACCAATCAGCTGTGTCAGGTTAATAAATGAATGGCAAAGCGTTGACCGTTCTCAATCTAGGGTTGCTTGTTGAGAATTTCTAGGATTATTATGGCTGCTAAAAGCACAAAATTCGTATTTCTTACGGACAATGGCTTTTAAAATTTCCTAGAAGCGGAAGTAAAACTAAATACGATTAGAAAAATTGAAAGTTACGTATTTGACCTGGGCAATAGTATGTTTTCGCAGCTGAGAACGAAAATCGACAACTGAAAGATTTGCCACAGGCTGTTTTTGGCCATATACGTGGAAATATTTACTCTATCGGTAAGGAAAAAGTCAACAACTGCAAATTTTGAGAATTTTGCTCATTTCTTCGTCTTGAGCCTTATCGCGCTTTACGACTTTCTTTTTTTAGCGGACTGTGAAACCTATAATTTCATTCTTTAGACCTTTCCTCTCAGTAAAGGCCTATTTTGATTATATGATAAACAAAATAATACATGGTTGATAGAAGCTATGGAACATCTCTTCTCATGTTCAACTCGATACCAAGAAATTATAGCAGTTTATATTCTCTTGCTCAACACCTCAGCGACACACAGCGAGTTGAACACTAGAAGAGAAATTCCGTATCAACACGCTCCCATGTATTATTCTCTACCTATTGAATGAGGACAAATGGCCGAGTTTGTCATACAGCCTCGATGCAAAATCCTTGAATAGTTACCACATACAACAAGTTTAATGCGTGTCTGTGGCTCGATCTCTCAGGGAATGGGTTTTCATACAACTCTACTGACCACAAAAAAGGTTGCTGATAACTGTAAAGTCAAAAAACTTGTTGATAAGTGCTCCCGCAAAAATTGCCTAAAGCTAAAATTATTTGACTGTGAAAAAGTTCTCTGTGTCGTAGTGGAATTGTAATGTAGTTAATAGATTTTCTTCAAACTGAGCAGATATGCCTGGACAACTTCGTTGAAAGCCGATTACTGCTCAAGCAAAAGAGAACCTTTTTTACCGTGTTTACCTACTCTCATCTGAACACGAGAGGAGGTTGGAAGAATTTGAGGAAATTATGCAAACCCGACACACAGTCGAGGGTTCGCATAACTTTCAAGAAATTTCCCAACCCTCCGAGTGTTTAATTTATCTATGTTTTCCTTATTCTCTTTGCCTGCTTCCTAATTTTAGGTATTTATTCTTCCATTAATTACTATTGAAATGAGTTAAAGAGCTAAAGAGCATCGTACCTCTTTGCAGGGTCCATTTATTAAAAAGCAATACCGTGCTCTCAGAATTCACACGCGCTTATTCGCCTGATTACGTGATTTTTTTACGCAGCACAGGATGCCCAGTGCAATACTAAGGAATCTCCTTTAGACTGATCGCAAGATTCAATTTGTTACCGAAAAATGTACCGTGAAATGACGCGCGTGAAAAACTGCTAGTAGAGGCATAAATGGGGTAAGTTTGGCTCGTCATTTCTCTCAAACAAGCAAGGTGACCTGTCTTTCTTATTGTATCTTCCGAAAAAGACATTGTTAGGGAACATTTAAGGAAAGATTGAAAAATTATCAGGTAATTTTTTTCTTCTTAGGAATCACCTTAATACGCCAAAATGGGAAAATCTTAACCGCGGTCATCATCGATTTTAGCCAATCAGATTATGCTGGTTGATTGCTTTTAATCCTTTCGAGACACAGCCTCATAATAATTCTATTTACAAGAACATTTATGCGTCATCAACAATAAATAATGGGGCCATTGTTTTCTCTCCTGTAAGACAAAAACCATGCACATCAAGTCTTTAAAAAAAATAAAATATACCTTTCTTTTTTCTTTATGGTTTGTCGAAGGACGTTCAAGCAAACTAAAGGCACTAAAAACTAACGTGATTTGTTACATGGCCAAACAAGAATAGCCATTCACTCAACATTATTGACAGCGAGTTCAGCCAGTACTATCTTTACAAATTTTTTAAGGCATGGATTAAAAGAGACTAACCTTTACAAATCAAACCATCCCAAATGTATTTAGGATTACAGGCGCAACTGTAGGAGCCCTGGGTATTACTGCAGGAGGCGTTCTCATCACAGATGTTCATTTGTGAACACTCGTCGATGTCTGATGGGGATCAAACGCACCACGTTACAGCCCACAATTGGGTGTTAAGATGAAAAATGTTTTGGTTGATCAATATACAATGAACACCTGTACAAAATACTGTAAAACCTAATCTCAAAAGATTTTTGGACAAAGTGAAATAATCCACCATTTCTAATAAGGGTGAATTATGGAGTAGAACTACATTTTAGGATAAATGCTTGACTACTTCTGGCATCATAATTTGAGTTAAAAGGACGTTTTAGATTACTCTCCGCTTTGAATGGCTGGGACTGAAGGAAACTCATTAAAATTACCTGAGCAAGTCTGTCCATCTCCGGCGTATCCAGTGTGGCATGTACATATATGTGATCCAATGGTGTTGGTACAGTTAGCATTCACATGACAAGAAAGATTTTTTGCACATTCGTCAACATCTGAAAAATGAAAGGCTTTCAATCACGATTCTTGGAGTATGATACATGTATAAACCCCCTTATTTTGATCATTTAGTGCGAGAGTTGTCTCCAGAGTGTTGTTGGTCACTATGTTTTAATCAAGAGAAAGCTGGTCAACGAAAATGTTCAGCATTTTGTCATTAGCTTTAAATAGCTGGGACTGTATGCATAGAAATAGGAGCGATGAAGATTGTCTCTCTTCGATCAAAAAGGACTTTTCTGAGCATTGAGGGAAACTTATTAAAATCACCGGAGCAAGTCTGTCCATCTCCACTGTATCCAGTGTGGCATGTACATACATGTGATCCAATGGTGTTGGTACAGTTGGCATTCACATGACAAGAAAGATTTCTTGCGCATTCGTCGATGTCTGAGAAATGACAGGCTTTCAATCACGATTCTTGGAGTATAAAAACAAACAAACTCACGCAAACTAACATTTCTCAAAGTCATAACAAGGCAATTACCTGTGCAGTTCCGTCCATCTCCGTTAAATCCAAATAAACAGGTGCACACAAAGGATCCATTTGTGTTTCGACAAGTAGCGTTCAGGTGGCAATCGTGAGTGTTTTTTTGGCATTCATCAACATCTGGAAAAATGGGAAAGAAAGGAAAAATTCTAGAACGGTAGTAGTTACACGAGTGAGATATACATTCGCTTTTTAAAACTCTTATGCGGTGAAAAAGCATTTAGTCTGTTATCATTGTGTCAAATTAATTTTTAATTTAGTCTGACCCAAAACTTTCACCGCAGCGGAATCTCTCTTTAGACACCATTTCAAATTGTAGCCGGATATCAGTCGTCAAAGATCAGCCTTGGTAGTCTTCCGTTAAGATACGCACTCGACGACCAAACGTTATATATAAATATGGAGGTTTAAATACTCCAGGAAATATTTTGTTCTTATCGGTCTATTCTGTAATTAACCTTTTTCGCAATGTTCTCCTTCGAATCCAGGGGGACACGAGCATCGATATCCCTTGATTGTGAAACCGGACTGACAAGTTGCATTATTTTGACAAGGTGGGTTCTTACCGCAGGCGTTCTGAAAAGAAAAAAGAAAAATTAAAGAAGATCAATGTATTGAATGATTGATACATGAATGAACGAACTTAAGTTTTGTTGAACGTCGTTTGTTTTCCGTGATTCATCGCCGAGTTGCTGAATTTGAGTTATGCTTTATATTTTACCTTTGAGCCTCGATAATAAAAATCAGCATCAGTTATCAGGTCAGTCTCATGGTCAAGATGAGTGGCGTTATTCAGTTCACAAACATGAGCCATTACTCTTGTATCTGGCTCTTTTTTGAAGTTAGCACTGACGCAGTTGTCGTTCATGTAGCAGAAAAGCTCACATTGATCCAAGTCTTTGACATATTTGGTTTCGATTTCATGGTTTTTCAAACGCTTTTCAGCAAAGAAGAAGTAACCTGGAAACAGCATTGTGCGATCTCGCTCTGAAATAAAGCAATCAAAATATAATTAGAAAACAATTTTTTCTTATCATAGAGAAATAAACTCACGATTCCAGTTATTACGCGTGCAAAATAACACGCTTGATGAACAAAGAACTGTGATCTCAATTAAACCATTACTACGGAAAATGGAGAAAAATTGATACTACCTTCATTTGCAGACTTTTGTCTTTCTGAGAACATAAGTATCTAGGACAATTTTCCATGTCTCAATTCCGCGATCAGAGATTTCCTCATGATTTCAGCGGAGACTTCTATTTCGATAAAGTAGGATAACACATAAAATTCTTGCGGAAAAGACAAATCTGAGTAAAGTTTTTGGGGCATTAGATAATTACACCCAGCCCTCTTCCCCACTTAAAAAAACTTTCAAAACAAAAGTGAAACGAAAAGAAAAATTGGTAGTAGCGACCATCACTTGTCTTTTGTGAAGACACAAGGCTTTTTGAGAGAAGGTCCAGTCTCTCTATTTTCCGGAGTGATATTATTTTAGGGAAGATAGGACAAAATCCGTAAAGAAAAGCGATCCGTCAATCTTTTACTGTGGCTGTAATTTATCATAATTATGAATATTTTGTATAATAGGGCACAAGATAATAAACCCCAGCTCTCCCTCCCTCCCAAAGTTTAAAAACAACAGTAAAACGAAAACAAAAATGAGCAGCAGCCGACGATCACCAGTTGTGAAGTAAGGATGTTTATAAAGCATTTCGTGTCTTCTTGTTTCCCCTGAACGATATCATTTAGCGGAGATAGAACAAAAGCCGTTACTAAAAGCTATCCGCAAATTTTTCTCAAGTTCCTTCTCTAATTCATGATCGATAAGTCATGAAAAAAAATTTATTTTTTTTATAAACCTTCTTTTTGCTTTCTTCATTGTAAAGGTCATTGTTTCTTACTCGAGTTTAAACGATCGCCATTGGTTATTTAGACCGATTATCGTGGACAGAGGAAAATTATGCTAATTTCCATTAAGACATTGTTATCGGGCATCACGCAGGAGATTCATATACGGGTTCAAGATGTTTCTATCGATATATACATTGGGAAATTCGACTTTTTCTCGCAAAATGGTAAATTCAAATGAAAAAAGTCAAGCACTCTCTTTCTCAAACAAAAATATCGAAAGTACCTACAATTTAACGGTAGTCATGCCACCTGTTTTTGAGGTGAGTACCTTTAAAATAATCCTTAAATTTATTATTGCTAATAACTTTCTCTGACACTTGCACAGTACCCGATTTTAACTTTTGATAGATAAGCTACGTTCATGGACGAATATCCAACAAAACAATGTAGCTATTCTTTACCATATGTCAGCACTGTTCTCTTGTAAATGGAGTAATTTGTATTTGCAAAGTTTTTGTCGTTTTTGTCGTTTTGCATCTAATCTTTCTGAATAAGAAACGATAAAACATTTTTGTTTCATTTTAATTTTTCAAAAACGAGTTCCAATCATGGGTGGATGTTGATTGTCGGTTTTTGACTTAGTCTTTGCTAATTGTTGTAACTTTAACTTTTTTTTGTATCAGTAGAAGAGAATAAAGGAAATACATAAATAAGGTTGTGCTCATAAGTGAATTGAAGGATAAAAAATGATTCTCCGTCTGCGACTCACTTTTTCCAAAAGTCAAGTTAGTCAATAATACATTCCAAGTTATGAACATGAAAAATGAAACAGATTATATGCCTTCTTCAAGGTAACGGTTTTCTGTTTCTACCACGCGCGTATGGCACAAGTTTTAAGTTAATCGCCAGCTCCCAGCACTGGATTAAGCTTCCAAGTC